ATGTCATTTTGTTGTTCAAACCATTAGGAAGTAATGACAGATGTATTGAGGCTAGAATAAGAAATATTCAAAGTCAAAAAAACACTTTTTCACTAATTAAAAGGAAAGCATTATACTAATATTACTTTCAAGTGAAAACTTTTTTCTCTTATAAAGGATAAATGCAGCTAACAAGGTGTCAATCCAGAGTAGTAATTGGGAACAATTTCTCTCTCATTCTTTCTTGAGACCAAAGGTCAGTGGCCCAGTGGATTCTAAATTCTGGGCCTCACCGCTATCCCTGGCTTCTTTCCCTCGGCAGTGAAAGGAGGAGGTCTGAGTCTCTTTTGAATAACCTCTAGCCATTTGGAGGCAAAATGGACTCAAAGAGAAACATGCCTATTAGTCTAGAAAGAAAAAAAAAAAGATGCCATAACAAAGAGCCTTTAAGGAAGAAAAGAAAAACTAAAAATGGTTACTCTAAAAGCTACAAAGATACATTCTTTAAGTTTCAAATACAATAGTCGGTTTGTGTCTTGGGGAATAAGTGACACCTCACTTCCTTCACCTTAGACATCACACAAAAATACATGAAACTAGAAAACAAATTCAACATATGCAGATTCAAGTCACAATATGCTCTCAGAAAACATAAATGCAACTATCACTGAACTAATAACAGAAGTTAAATGTGTCAGACTAATTCTCCAGCAGTTTCTCATATAGCACACCTTTTATCAGCCTGTGGCTTGTGACCCAAACGTGGGTCACAAGAATATACGAAAGGATCGCAAACAAACTTTTAAAATGGATTCTCCTTTAAACAAGAAAAATGCCATAACTTTTCCCTTATAGGCTGGCAGAGTTCCAGCCTGTGAGGAGCTGCTTGGGGCCCCCCAATGCCCACACACGGGCCTGGGGGTGAGGGGCAGTGGGCTGGGACTGCCTACTGATGTTTACAAATAGGCCCTGGTACAAAAAAAAAAAAGATTGAGACCCACTGATTTAGTGGATTGTGTGTGTAAGAGACACTCTAAATTGGGTCTTATACTGTTGATTTTTCCTTTGTCAGAAAAAGTTAAATAGAGAGTAACAAACATGCAAGCTTATATTTTTTTTGAGTGCTCCATTTCTTTAATTCTGGATGAATACTGCCCAGTAGAGCTGCTTCCTTCCACGTCAGCCTTCCTCAACTTTTAAATATACATACACACAGGCTTCTCTCACTTTATGTGGGTTCTGTACGTGGGAAATTGCTCTTGTGTGATGACCCTTTTTATACCAAAAATTCATTATATCAAGGTAAATTCACTTATGCAATTGGCATGGTGGAAACCCCAGTCAGCTGCTTTATGTGGTGCATAGAGGGAGTGACATGCACCAAAATATAGTCTCCTGTGTGGATCTGTGTTCCTCGCTCATTGCCTGCGACATGTGTTTCTGTAGTTGCCATCCCCCTTATAATAATATTCACCCCCCACCTTTTTTTTTTCTTTAATTCTCAGACTGCTAAAACCAGACAAGGCGACCATCAGGGATGGGGCGATCAGAGAGGTTCTGCCATGAGTGTCCAGAATCCCCACAGCCCCTACTGCAGCAGGGATTTTTTTTCTAAGTGCAGAGAGGCTGGAGCTGGGTGGGGCAGCCATGGGGGACTTCTTGCACAGCTCCCCCCACCCAGAGAGATGCAGGCACAGCCAAAAGACCTCAGTACAGTTGAGGTCTTGGAACATATACCTATTTGTTACATTGTAAAGTGGGTTCTATTTATGCAAATTTGAGTTATGTGCTGTTTTCCAGGAACATATGTACAGCATAAAGCAAGGGAAATCTGTACACAAAAGTTCATAGGTGTTTACGGTAAAATAAATATACAGCAGATGCATACATTCTTTAATAAATAATGTATTAGAGTTACAGGAAGATGGAAAAAAAAGAAGTGATCCTGCCTCAGCAGGGAGTTGGACTAGATGACCTTCTGAGGTCCCTTCCAGTCCTACTTTTCTATGATTCTATAAGTAAGGAGAGTGGATGGATTTTGTTTTTAAAAGATGCCCACTCCCAGTTTAAAATACTGTTTTCGTGTGTTTTTTAAAAAACAACAAGCCTGTACTTGTTTAATACTTGGATGGATTATGAGAATATGCCTACTGCTCTAGTCTAATTCCTTCTTTGCAGAATCAGTCATTGCTTATGAGTTACCAGTAATATCATGCTTTTGGGTAACGTTATGCACACACACGCACACACACACACACACACACACACACAAAAAATTCTGGATGGTTTCTGTACTTGGTATTTTAAACCCCAGAGCTCAGATAAGCAGTTTTGGGATGTAGAGTTATCTTGCAGCTGTCTTTCTATTACTATTCATATTTGTTAGTTTTATTATTCGCCAAGTCACAAAAGTATTCTTTAAAAAGACACAAGGCACCTGCTGCTATGAGGAGTTACACTCTTTGACTATCTTGTTTACACTGTAAGTGATTTTGTATGGTCATCTTGATGCTTATAAGTAAATCAAAATTATTAGCATTTTCTCCCAATTTTCTTTTTTCCTAAATACAAAAGACCTGGGCCTCAAACATGCATAAGTTCACCAAAAATACAATATAGAATCCCTGTTTTTTTAATATTTTTCCCTGCTTTTTCCCCCCACTACTTCAGTAAGAAATCTTTTTTCTATTCTATGTTACTAGTTGACTGTACAAGTAGTAGGAAAGAGTAAGTATGAGAAACACTTTCCATCTCAAGCAACCCAATTTTGGCAGTATTTATAATTGCATATAAACATCTGCACTCCACCATCCTCCAGGGTTTCTCACTACATTCTTCTGGCCAAGGAGAACTATCTTCTTTTGGAACCTTAAGTTACCATTTTATAAATGGGACAGAGCGTGACTGAGTGTCAAACTCTGGGCTCTAGTACAACAGCATAAAGTAGCACTATTCTGGTGCTAAGCTGGCCAATTATAAGATTTTTCATAGTCAGTGTATTAGGCAACTTTTAATTATGCTGTGTACTCCAGGACTAACCCAAAGAATAAATATTGACAGAAGGGCAAAGTTGCTTAGTGCTATTTAAGAACTGTCTATTAGAAATGCCATTTTTCAATGTTTTGTTACCTACTTTGAAAACATCTGGCTGTAAGAATCATTGCTAACTGTTGCACCTTTAGGGGTCTGCCACCCTGGCACCTGGTGCTCCCCCTGTGGTCCAAACCCACCTTGTTTGAAACCCCCACCTCACCTCCAGTTTCTTGCTTGCCACAACTTCGATGTTAACTTGGTTTGTTGGAGAGGTGGTCCCTAGGGTCAGAGTAGCTTCACCAATTTGTTCCCAGCTAGATCCACCTGGGGCCTGTGCTCTACCGTTGAGCACTTCCCCTTTAAGTGCTCCCTCAAACTTCCAAGCACCTGCCATGGCTACAGCTATCACATCATTTTTCTCCTTTCTCTCTGGCCAAGGCCTCAGCCCACTGTCTAAGACCTCAGCTCCCAAGCATAAGTCTCAACTTGGCAGCAGCCCGTCCTAGGGCTCCCATTTCACCCCACCAGCCTCAGCTCCTCTGGCTTAGGGCTATCTTCTGGTGCATATAGTGGGGAATGCCATCCAGGCACTACTAAACCCTACAACAGAACCACCAGCATTCCTGGATCTTACAGCTGCATGTCCAGAAATGCTCTCTCATGTCCAACACATCAAGCGTCCCAATTAAAGATATGTAGGAGAGACCAAACAACAACTGCGCACCAGAATGAATACACACCAGAAATCTGTTAAAGATAAGAATACCCAATTACTGGTGGGGGCACCTGTCTTACAAAAGACACAAAAGCACACTCTCTCGCCATTCTCTCAGTTTTAATCCTCAAAGGGAACTCACACAATACTTTTCACAGATGAGCCTATGAACTTCACTTGGTCAACATCCTGGATATAAAAGCCATAGACTATATATAGACATTGGATTTATAACACACTATAACCTGCTAACATCTGACTCCCCAGGTACCTCTCCATTATTTACCTGCTACATTCATCCCCCTTGTCTTCCCCCTCCCCCAGCCTGTCTCTCACCCACTAAGTCCTCAATTTACATCTTTACTGACTGGCTTTCTTACATGCATACCAGCCTCTGGCTTCTTTACTATTCATTCCATCCAGGAAGAGCACACACCACGTGCAGATGCTTCTTCAGCCTGATGAGGGTTTTTAAACCCCAAAAGCTTGCGAAGAAAATGTTTTCCAACTATTTAGTTGTTCTAATAAAAGATATAGATTTAACCAAAGCATCTCATCTACCCAGATACCCCCCAACCCATAGCTACCTCCTCCCCTGAAGCCACAACAGCCCTCTGCTCTCAAATTCAAAGTGGAACAGAAATGCAAGCAAGCTGCTCTAAAACAAAGAAAAGTCTTGTTCACTCAAGACTCATGTTGTCCCCAGGCCATACCCTCCTTTAGAGCTATCTCACCCCAGCTCCCCTGGGTTGCCTGCCTGCCTTCAGCAGCCCTTCTCTCCTGGAAACTCATCTCCCCACCACTTGCAGAGGCAGATTGCCCCTTGCATAATCAAAGACTGGGTTTATGCCCAAGGCCAGCCTTCTTCCATCCATGTGACCAGATCTCCTGCACCCAGGAACCAGATGCAGTTAATTGCCTTGTTAACCACTTGGTTTATTTAATCCTTGGCTCAGGTCATCTGCCTAACTACTTGCTGCTTTTCCTAGCCCCAGGTTTTCTACCTTCCCCTGCCTCCTTGTTACACTAAAATTGGACATATTTACCATGTACACCAAATGTTATATTTAAAGAATATTAAGCAGGTTTCAAAATCAAGTACTAAATAATTAGGAAATAGCAAAATTAAGATACCTGTGCAACTTTCATTTGGCAATGCATCTATTCTGTGGGCTATAACAGCTGAAGCCCCAACAGGTGCTTGGAAACTTGAGGGAGCACTCCCTTAAAAGGGAAATGTTAGGCGGCATCCCTTTTAATCACACAATCAAAAACAAGATTTTCTGCAGGACCTTTTTGAAAGGGATGAGATCTTTGGAAGAACTGAGCTTCAGAGAAGTAGCATTATGATGTGAAACCTGCTTTGGTTTAGTCTTTTTGCCTCATTTACTAGTTAACTTTATAGATGATTGCTAATAGTTGTCTTTTCATCATGTGTGAGCTCTTCTATCTTATGTATCTAGAAAGTGAAATAAACACATTGAGATTTTATTTTATACTTACCCAGTCAACAATTAAGGGGTCTTAAAAGCAGCACTGTCACTTTGAATGCATGGTGGCGAGCTTTTAATGCCAGTTTTCTATTACATGACCAATTTTTTTGGATGGTTCTGGGGAGATTTCTATATACAATTTATTGCTGAAAAAAAAAGTTTGTCAGCAATCTGAGAATTAGGCTTGGAGCTCTAGAAAAAATTGTGAATCAAGAATGCTGTGGTAGCACAGATCATCAACCATTTAAGTCAAAGATGATCCAGCTTTTAGCTATGTAGGAAAACCTTATTCCAAACTTGCTATATGAAAAGTGACAGTCTTTGGAAGCAAGCTGAACACAGCACTTAATGATTCAGCTAAATAAAGCTCTCTTAATGCCTACCAGGACCACAAGTATTCTCATTCTCATTTCAGCTATAATCTTGAGGAGGATGTTTGCACATAATGAAGGAAACCACTGAATGGGAGTTCTATTAATCAAATCTTTTCTGGTCCATCAACTGGTAGACATATACCTACTATCAATATAAAACTTAAGGTTGATCCAAGATGGTAAACCAAAGGGGACACATGACAAAGAGAAGAAACCACCTCTACTTAAACAAAGGTTAGAAAGAATGCATTCTAAGCAGCTAAATGTGTGTCATGAATATCTTCATTCTATTCTCTGGTTATTCATTTTCTGCTCTCCATATTTTAAGCCCTAAGAGATTAAACAATTGTCATTGCGAGGTAGAAAGGTATTTTCTGAGTTATTGCAGGATAACAAGATTGCATTCCTGCAGGCCAGTACATGTTGTCATTTTCAGTTGCCATTGTTTAATAGAAAGAATAGCTCCTGGGAATCTGCAGGCTGACATAATGCTCCCTGTCATGGCAGTCTGGAAGAAGAGGGCTGTCAACAGCATACTATAACTCAGTGCTTTGTGGAAGTATCCAGACAATGCTATTCTAAACAATTCTGCCTCTGATTGCTTCTCCATGAATAATGATGGGTTTTATTTGCAAACATGACAAATGTGCTTATGAATAAGTGGATCACAAGAAGCCTAGCTGTATAAAACCTGATTTTTCTGATTTTGCTTACATCCTTAGTAGAGCAAACAACAGGTAAAAGAATGCACATATTTTTTCAAATCTATCATGCTTTGTTTTGTTTGGTGGTAAAAAAAAAAGGTGTTCCTGGGTGTATTTTGTATCTAAATAGTTTTTATATGCAGTGAAGCTTTAGAATAGTTTCAAAGGCAGTAGTCATAATGAACCCAGGAGGTATACCGTATGGAAAAGCTAAAAAAAAATGTCATTCACAGAAAAAGTATTGCCCAGCAGCTCTTCCAGGCAGATTTGATCCTACAGTGATGTTGAAGATAATTGCTCAGGCTGCTTGCCTGCTGCCCTCTCAGCATGTCCTTTTGTACAACTTATTTTTCTCTGTCATATGAAGGCACTTCTATTTTTTTATTCTGCCATTTGATTATCCTGTAGCTTTCCAACTAAGTCATTACTGCAAGTTGGAATGAACCTAGCCAAGGAAATCAACTTTAATTTTGCCATGGGAAGTGCATCTGAAGCAATGTTGTATTTTCCTTCAAATGTCAGTGATATTACAAAAGATGAATAAGCTAATATTTTACCAACTGCTATTCTCCTTTGGTATTTAAGTTTAATTACTAGTATGTTCTACCATAAAAGAAACATTCCTATCTAATCCTGATCTCCTGAACTTATATTCATCAACCTGATGTCTGAATAGCAAAAATGCTCCTCCCTCTCTTTCTCTGAGAAATAACTCAGGTTGGGTTGCTGGCAAAATATAAAGGAAACGGGCTCACCTGCAAGCCAAGGTAAGAGCTTAAAATATTTTGATTAAATGGTGGAGAGTTATCAGATCATGTTCATTAAAGGAGAGAAACATTTTGGAGGCAAATAGTCTAGAAACTTCATCAGCTAAGAAATACCTGGATTTTCAGTGTATTTATCAATGGAAAATCATGTTTAGCTGTACTTTGGTAAACTAAGCTTCACCCCTGACCTCTTCCCCCCCTCTCCCCCCATCAGTGCAGTATGTATTTTTAGTTCTTTTACAGATTGAGGCACTGAACTGGGACATGAAGAAGTTATGAAATTGCTCTGGATTCTGAAGATGGAGGCAGAATGGGAAAGAATTCAGTAAACCAAATTCCACCCCTGCATCAATGAAAAGAAAGTGATACAAATTAAGTGTACATGACTGAATTTCACTTCTGCAGAATTCATCCTGTGAGCCAATACTGATTATATGGGTGTGAATGTGAAAAACATGTTTTGTTCAGCTTCAGGTTCATCATTAAAAGCATCCCAAGAAGTACAGAAGGCTTTACAGTATAAATGTGCTAAAGATTTATTAAAGTGATGAATCCTTCTTGGGATCTTTCCCACTGTGTAGTCTTCAGCTGCTACAGCAACAATGGAAACATTTTTCTCTAAGAGATATACAAAGACCCCTGATGAGAGATGAAGGAGGAACAACAAGAGCCAACATGTTTTTTAAAATAACAGAACAAATTATGCCTTGGCTGGGCACTGCCAGCATCTGTTTATTCTCCTCTGGGCATGACCCAGCTGTAATTTTCTTTGCAGCTTTAGAAACTCCCTTGTTCTACTAGATGAAGCTCAAAAGAGCAAACAGGAGGACAAATGGCAAAATTATTTTCAAAATGTACAGTAATTGCTTTTATTTCTGGAGGTAAAAGCATGTTACCACCCTTCCTCCCCTCATCACCATTACCAGCACCCTGTATTCGATAATTTAATTCTGTTTCTGTAGCCAGCAAAGCTCATAGTAGGTCCAGGAGGTGCACACAATAGCTGGTGTATTCTATACTGCTCTGAGCACACATAAGAAATATCTTGTTTCTGGATCCAAATGGTCTTAAGTGGGAGATAAGCACCCTATTTGATTTCATGGAAGCATTTTCCTTCCTCAGTGACACATGTGCATAGCTGCAGAGTGCTTTAAAAGTGGCCAATCGCACAACAAACTAACCCTCATCTAATGAGGAATAGATGACAGTGCTCCAAAGTGGAGCACTGTAGGGAACTTCCGTCAATCCCTGTGCATGATCAGGGTTGGGCTGATGCTGCCCAGCCCTGCCCCTGATGCTGTCTGCAGGAAAGGAAGGAGGAGAAGGGAGGGGGAAGGAGCTGCAGGCTGTAGTTTGCCCAGCCTACACTGGAGTAAGGGTGGGTTGATTGGAGTATCTCCCACCCCATCCCACCCCACCCCCGTTTCCCCCCAGTGTCCTCCCCCTTCAGCTCAGGCTGGGCAAACTCCAATCCACAGCTCCTTCCCCCGCCCTTCCAGCAGACAACACTGGAGCTGGGAGGGGAAGTGGGGCTAGGGAAGAGGCTGCAGGCAGGCAGCTTCTCTGCTGGATCAGCTCCAAAGTAGAGTTTGATCCCACCCCAGCAGCCCAACAGCAAACATCTGTTGGGCCGAGGGGTTGCTCTAACTCATAGTGCTTCACAGAAAGTGGGGAGCTGCACATCTGTCAATGCCCAAAATGATTTGTTATCTGAGGCTGTGAAGAATGTAATATTATGACTTCTGTGGAAACTTCCTTTTCTTTGACTGTAAGTGAGGTGCATATATAGAAAAACCTAAGGGTTAACTCAGGCCTTATCTACATTTATCCAGTTTATCACTCTGGCAGTATACGGTGGGTATTGCCAGCAGGGTTCTTCAAATCAAAATACGACTTAAGGCTTCATGTAGCACCAGTGTAACAGACCAAAAGTGCACACTGTGCCAGCAAAGTATGAAGTGCACCCTGGGAAGCCACTAGCTGCTGAAAGAACTGCAGCAGCTGGCAGAAGATATTGGCACATGCCTTCAGACAGCTCCTGAATAACCACCAAAGTTTATGGAATCATAGACAAGCAGCAAGGCTGCTCTGATGCACTGTAATTACAGTGTATCAAAGCAGACTCGATTAATCAAGTCTGCTGAAACATGGTAATTACCATGCTCCAGCAGTCTCCAGTGTCTTGTGCATCAGTGTCCCCGTGCTTAAAAATGGTGGCAGGGACACTATCTAAATTTCATTTGAACAGCTTTAGACAAAGTGCTTCTGCCGCCATTTTTAAGCATGGGGATGCTGATACAGAAGACACTCAGGGCACTTTAATTACAGCAGCAGTCCGAGAGCTGCTCTATATGAAGTGCCCTTCCCCCAGCAATTCCTGGAGCACGTATATAAATGCCCATAGCACTGAAGGAACCTCAAGGGTCACTGGTCCAACCCCCTCCATGAATATAGGAATACAATTGCTAAACTGTCCTGTCAAATGCTTATCCAGCCTTCTCGTGAAAACCTCTAATGAAGGAGATCCCACAACTTCCCTGGGCAGTCTATTCCACTTCCTTACTGTTCCTAGTTTTGGCCCCTACAGCCATAGAAAAAAATCAAATCTTCATCCTCTTTTTAATCACCCTTCATGTATTTGAAGACTTATCAAACCTCCTGTCAGTCTTCTCTTCTCCAAAATAAATAATCCTAGTTCTTTCAACCTTGCTCATAACCCATGCTTCCCAAGCACGCGCATCTAATAATTTTTGTGGCAGGTTGCAAAGGTTCAACCTGCTTTGCCTAGTAACACTGCTTGGAATCTGCTTGGACTAAATGGAATCTACTTAATCTATGAAGTAAGGCTAAATTTAGGGAGGATTACATGCCTTAGGTTTTTGATACTTAAACCCATTTCTCTCTATTAAGTTCTACTAATAAATGAATTACTATACTCACTTGCTGGTTTCTGCTTTTAACCAGCAGTTTAGAACACTCCCAGAAAATATGATTGAGCATGAATCAAATCCAGGTGAAACTGGGTTTGGTAAACCAAAGGTGCTATAACTTGATTCTGCTGTCAAACGTGTTGTGAAAGCAGTGCAGATGGAACTGACCACTGGAGATAAATGACCACAGAAAGACTATGAAGGAAATCACAGATACAGTTCAGCTTGTCCCTAAACTGCTACACAAGCCTTTATGAATCCTACAATATTCAGTTTTTGTGTAAATTGAGGCAGCCCAAGCAGTAGTAAGCTGCCATTTGAAATCTGTGAGGGGATTAGTGTGCTTCCAGAGATCACCCATTTAAAAATGCATTATTTTGATTTAGGGTTACAGGTTAGATACACAAGGAAACAGTTAATCTACCACTGAAGTGCAGCCATCTGTTTTACAGGAAACAACAACTCTACAGAACAGCTTGAGATGTGAAGGAAAAGCTTTACCAAATTAAGAAGCAAAAGATGGTATTTTTTCAATTTCATCAATGCAAAAAACATTGAGATTGTCCCTAACCTAGAGACTGAGCACTATATTTTCTGCAATGTATATGGGTCAACATTATCAAGCTTCGGCACATGAGGTTAGGCACCCATATTTCATACCTTAGTGACCTGATTTTTAGAGGTCCTGGTCAATAACTCTCAAAAACAGAGCTTTTATGTAGGTTCCTATATAAAGATTTAAAAGGTTTGACTTATCTTCAAAAGCTTAACATTTTTAACTGTGATCTTTATTGGCCTTTGCTACAGAAATCCCAATGAAGCATGCAAATTGCTGCTGTTCTGCTATTAGTGTAGCCCATAACTTTCCTGTTTATTGAAAACATCACTTGTATCCTGTCTGTCATAGATCTAGTATGCCATTTCCCATTATGTCAATCACATAATATTATGGATGCAAACAGACATCATGTGTTGTAGAGGTAGCCTGAAATATTTGGAGATGTACTTTTCTTTGCATTTTCTATTTAAAAAGTAGGGTTTTAAAAAATAACCACACAGTATATTTTTTCTTTAGATAAGGACTTTGTTTATCCCATCTTTGATTTTTAAAACATGCTGTGATTGAGTTAATTTTCTTTTTCTTGGAACCAGCTGCTTCGTATAAAGCCTGGACAAAAATATCCATAAGTAAACCAAACTTATTTCTGAACATAATAAGTATCTGAAGTGTGTTACTGATTGCATATTAGAAATTATGAGCGAAATTTTAACCTCACTGAAGTCAATGGGCATTTTACTTAACACCCAGAATTTCACCTGATATCCTTAAACTTGGTCATTTTTGCTTTAGGAAAAAAAGATTCTAATTATTAACTCAAGAGTTCTTTATTCCTTCTGTCTACTATGCATTATTTGGGATTTATCAAACACGCCTTTGAGATACCAAACCTCTATATATGTATTGCCTGTTGTAAATCCTCCTCTCAAGAAAAATATATGCAATTCTGTAAACTGTGTTAGAAATGGACTGTCATGAATGGTACCATAATCAGCTACAGAGTCATAAAAAGTTAAACCATTTTTTGTTTGATCTACAATTTGTGGTCTGTGTGTGCATGTCTACATGCACACACAGAAAAGAGAGAGAGAGAATACTTTCCAGTGGCTGCTTTTATGAGTATGTCATCCTGTTTTACAATGCAAACAAGAATTTTATGCATGTTTTGTACACTTAAGGTTATACAGTCCTTCTTCAGTATACAGGGAGCAAAAAGAAGGTGCAGGGCAGCATAGGACCCCTATAGGATAGAATAGAGCAGTTGGTGACAGATAGGAGGGACAAAGCAGAGCTACACCAGCCCACCAGTTGTCAGGGCCAACCTAGTAAAGAGACACTTGGAGGGACTGGATGTGTTTAAGTCAGCGGGACCAGATGAGCTCCATTCAAGGGTGCTGAAAGAATTAGCCAGTGTCATAGCACAGCCACTGGCACAACTGTTTGAGCACTCATTGTGTTCAGGTGAGGTCCCAGAGGACAGGAAAAGGGTCAATGTGGCCCCTATTTTCAAGAAGGAAAGGAAGGACAATCTGGGTAACTATAGACCAGTTAGTCTCACCTCTATCCATGGAAAAACCCTTGAAAAAATTATCAAAGGTCACATTTGTAGGAGTCCAGCAGGTAATATAATGCTGAAGGGCAACCAGCATGGGTTCATAGCAGGTAGATCCTGCCTCACTAACCTGGTTTCTTTGTATGACCAGGTCACTAAATGCTTAGATGCAGGAGTAAAGGTAGATGTCATCTACTTGGACTCTAAGAAGGCCTTCAGCATGGTATCCCATCCTATTCTCATAAATAAATTGAATGGCTATGCTATGGGGTGAAGTAAACACACTGATGGGAAGAAACTGAATCCTGGCAGACCTGGACAG